CAAAGAGGCTTTGCTTTGACATTGGTTGGAAGGGATGCCATGTCTCAGACAAAGAACAGGTTTTAGTCAATGGAGGGTTTAGAACACTCTGTGAAAAGGTCCTGTAGAAAGATTGAGATGGCCAAAAGAAGAGAATCTGGCCAAAAGAATAAGAAAACATTAGGAATGGTAAGGAAAACAACTGAACAGTTAGAAAAATTCACAAATCACGGGTGATCAATAGACTTTGGCCTCAGAGTCAAGCAGTTCCAAAGCTCGTCCTGGTAGCTTTAGCTCGTCGTTAATGGCAAGGTGGGAACGTCATCTAAGAAAATAATTTGTCAGAATAGAAGGAAGAGAGTAAGAATGAAAAAGACAGTCTTAAACTCAGCAAATGAAAATATGGAGGGAAAGAAGGGCTTTTTGAAACTGGAAGTTTGCATAATTACCAAAGAAAGTAATTTCCAGGATTTAAGTGAAACAATTATGATCCAGGCTAGGATTGTGTTGCACTTTCCTCACATTGCTTCTAATTCTCATGAGACACCTTTCTTTAGATGTTAGGAATATTAGCAATATTATAATTGAAAACCAGAGAGCCCACAGCTTTTTGTTTCCATTAGAACTAAGTTCACGGCTAAAAATAAAAACCTCTGATGTCTAGCACACTGAACTTGGAGGGATTAATAATAGCTTAAATAAAATAATGTATATGAAACAGATAAGCATGGGAAGAATTATGAGGTGAGTTTATATTTCATTGAAAATGTATATTTTAGGGCTGGAGGTTTAGCTCAGCGGCATAAGCGCCTGCCTTGCAAGCAGGCAGTCGTGAGTTCGATTCCCGGTACCGATAAAAAGGAAAAAGACAAAAAAAAGAAAATGTATATTTTAGTTTTTGAGCCCATATTTTCCAATATGCCTCTACAGTACATAAAAGTTTGTCTTATTCATGGCACTTGATCAGGGTCACAGACTGAAGGCAGAGGAATTGATAGTCAAATACCGATTTAAACGTTTTGTGTCTGTCACTGGATAGGAAATAATGATGAAAACCAAACACAGATGCAAGTGGGCTTTTCCAACTATATGATACTTGGGTTGCATCCAGCACTGGATCAGGTTTCACTTGCCCTCACCCAGGGGATCCATCCTGCTGCACGTCCTTCCACCCTACTTTAGCCTTCTTGTTTTTAGTATATGTAGTCATATAATTTTTATTCTGGGGTGTCCAAGTAGAAAACGAACAATTTTTAAAATACAGAGAATAGTTTCTGAGCAACTTCATTATCGATGATTTATGACAGTGGTAAAGGAGGAGAAGTGGATTTGTTTGGTTTATAGTAAATATGCTGTGGTTTAACCATAAGGTAAGTACTCAGATGATGTAGTTTGATAACATTTTGGTCATTTAATTAACAATGTATAACACACATGGTGATTATGTAAATAAATAGGGTAATTTCCATGTATCTGAAAATGTTACAGTAACTCTCTGAGTTAGTATTTTCTAGAAGCCCTTTCATAGTGCATAGTAAATATTGAAAAATTGAACAAAGAATACAGATCTGTCTGTGCTTCTTAAAGCTTCACTGAAATTTAGAATGTTACAAACTTTAGAATGTAGTAATTGTGGTAATAATTCCAAAAACCTGCGAAAGAAATCCCTGGAAAGAGAAAACACTTTTTAAAGTTTACTAAATATGCTCCAGAAAAATACTATTATTTGAGTAAAAGAGGTTTGCAAATTATAAATTTGAAGCAATAAATCTAAAGGATGAGGTTATTCTCAATTATAGAAGTAAGCTTAGTAATCACAAGTAATAGGTGAAATAAATTATGTTTAGAAACTTCATTTTCTTTAATCATAGTTAAAATGGATAAATAAGAATGGTACATTTGGTAATTTTATAGATCCAGACCAATTTAAAGCGAAATAACAGCAGATACTTTAATGTATTAACAAGTCTCTCAACCCTTTTGAAAGTCAACAAGGAAACACAAAAACTAGTTTATCCAATTAATTTAGCAGTTTGGGGCTAAAACACATTACTTTATCAGACAGCTATAAAAGCAATGTAGTGAAGTGTCCCCAATATGTATACCAACCAAAATACATACATGCATGTGATGCATGTACATTATCTGTGTAAGCATACTAGGAAATGAGGTATGCAGATATGCATGTGTATACAATGTGTTTGCACATACACAGACATGTATGTAGGTATGTTTAGGGATCAACCCAGCCTGACAATTCTACTCTGAAGTAGTTAGTAGTTTATAGATATAACAAGCATAAAATGGACCAACATCAATAAGGAGGAGAGGCCAGAGTCTACAGCAGGCACACTACTGTCCTCCCTTTGCTGTTGAGTTACAATGTTAGTGATGTTTCTTGCGCAGTGCTGCGTGGATATGGGATCCTCCTTGGTTCACCTCAGGATTCTGCTGCTGTGTGGATCCAGAGATCAGATCATCCGTATCTGACTCTTTTTGTGATTCTTGATTATGACTCCCAGAGGAAGTCAGAAGATCTTGGGGTTACTGTAGACCATGTCTCGCTTGGACTATTTATCACCTACAAATCATCTTCTATAAATACAGGTCAGCAGGCTTTTCATCAGTCGCCGACAAGTTATGAAGGTTATGGGAAACAGTGTGAAGGAGATGTGCTCTATGAGGGTGGCTCTCTATTCTGACCCACACTTGCTTTCATTCTTCCTGAATATCAATGATCCAGGGAAGGTGCTCCTTTCCATTTAGCATTCAATCTTTTTAATTGTCCCCTTCGGCTGCTATTCCTACGCCACTGCATCATGACTTTTAAGAATTTCTAAGAAATGTAAAGATCACACTTGAAGGATACGGTGAAAAAAATCACTAAAAGCAGAATAGAAACCTGTCTAAACCTTAATGACTTGTTTTCTTTCCCTTTTATGAGCAAATCATGCAAAACAATCTTTTTCTCTGTTTTTAAAATTTGCACATCTATTAATCCTCCTTTTTTGCTTTGGATAAAATACAGACTCCACCAAAATGTTTTACAAATACCATGACGACAGTCTCTGGAAGTTGAAATAAATCAAACGCTTTTCTCCTTTGCATTGCTGAAATTTGTTTGTTTTGAAAAGAAAATGTGTTTGTTCTATACACGGTTTTGGATTTTGCCCTGGACATATAAACCTTACACGTATTCCCCGAAATGCAAACAAAACAAAACAATATTGTAACAACCCTCCCCCCAAATTGACACAAAACAAAAAACACCACTTAGGCTGCTCTGACGGACGATTTGTTCCTGGGAACACAGTTGGAGGCCGCTGGAGGAATGATTAACCATTTCCCTTACAGTGTTCCTTTGAAAAGGCGTCCTGGAAGCCAGCTTCTCAAAGAGAAGAGAGTCATTCCATTAATATGCATTAAAAAGCAAAGACCCAATATATCCAACCACTCTGGTGAATCAGAGATCATCAGCACCTTTCTGTGTTCACTATAACCCTCTTTTTAAAAAATCGTGTTCTTGGCTACTTGATCGCCCCAGGAGCATGGAACAAGAAGAGAAATTTTTTAAAAATGCAGAAGAGTAAATGACGGAAAACTGCTTTATTCAAGTTCACACCTGCCACCCAAGCCACTCACCCTTTGGAAGACACCAACACTTTCAATAAATAACCCGTCTCCTCCCACTATACCACTGCACTATTTTAGCACTTGTTTTGCAAACCACCAACAGCGTGTGCAAGTACAGACACAATCAGGTGGCCAGCGACCTTTCGTGGAGTCGTGTATTTGCAGCCGATTCATCAAATACTAGAAATACTTCATCAGCCAACGGTCCAGGAGGCTAAACAAATAAATCATAAATAAATTGCTGGAAGGCCTGAGGGAATGTGTCCCCTCACCCCCTCGCTCTCGCCAGGTGCAGAGTCCGGTATCCTCTTCTCCCGCTTTCCCATCTTCCCCCAAACTTGTCTCAGACGACAAAAGTTCCGCCCCCCGCACCTCAATCCGCGGACCCGCCGACCTCCGCCGCAGCCGCCCCACCGCGCCGGACCCCGCGCCGTAGCCCGGCCCGGCCTCGCGCAGCCTGAACACACAGGCGAGACGCTAACTGCACCGCGGCGGCAAAGGACTGCGCCTGCCGCAGCCCGAGCGGGGCGCCCCTCCGCCGCGACGGACCGGTCTGAGCGCGCCGGCGGCCCCAGGCCCTGCGGCAGGTGGGCGCCGCGAGACGCGGAGAGCACCCGGAAGACCCGCTCGCCCGCCCGGCCGGCCTCGGGCGGCTGTTCCAGCGGCGGACGGCGAGCTTCCCGGACGCCGCACGCGGACGTGGCTGGCCGCTGCCAACGCTGCCACCGTCGCCTCCTCACACACCGCGCTCGCTCCCGCGCGCGCCCCAGCCGGGCGCAGGGCCGCCTCGGCACCTAGCTGGCAGCCAGGCGCGCGCGGCGGGCACGCGCGGCACGGACACGCGCCCCGGCTCGCCCCCTCCTCCTCCTTCCCGCGCGCGCCCGGCCTCGTTTTACAACCGCGCTCCCCGCCCGCTGCCGCCTCCAGCCTGTCCCGCGCCCTCTCCTCAGGCGCCGCGCGCCGGCTCCTACGGGACACCGGAGGCGAGGAGGAGCCGGAGCCCGAGGAGGAGGAGGAGCAGGAGGCCCACGAGCGGCGGCGAGAGGAGGCGGCGCGGAGAGCGGGCGCGCGCGAGCGAGTCCCCAGCGACGCCGGCGCCCCGACAGGAGCCCCGCGCCCCGCAGACCCGCGCAGCCGCCGCCGCCGCCGCCGCCGCGGCCACTTTCCTCCTCGGCGTATTCTTTGCTTCTTGGCTGGTCGCTGTGTCGGGGAAGCTTTAGTGGCACGAACCTCCGCTCCGTGCCTCTCGCGTTTTGGGGGCTGTCTCTTCAGAGTCCCCTTCGGGGGCTCCCCCGCCTGGAGGTGGACCCGCTGGGGAAGGCGCGAGGCTCTGTTCCCGGCTCCCCGCCTCGGGTGCGCGTCGCTGACCCCTCCCCCCTTTTAAATTATTTTTTATTTTTTATTTTGTGGACTGTGTGCATTTCCAAATAATAACTCCTGGTTTTCGAAGCTGAGGCGAGGAAAATGGGCACCGGCTATCGGGAGCGAAGGGGTGTCTCTCCGTCAGTGTCTCTGGATCGCGAGCCTGTGCTGGTGTAGACGAGATCCCCCCAGCTCTCGGAGTGCAAGGTAAGGGGCTCGGGTCACCTTCGCGCCGCCGGGGGTCGCCGCTGCCCGCTCGGGCCGGGATCCTTGGGGGGCCGGCGGCCGAGGCAGCGAGCAGACCCCGCCGCCTCCCTCTACTTCCCCGCCGCGGCTGAAAAGTTGAAGAAGTCTCCTTTTCCAGAGATGCGCTGGGTCGGAAGGAATACGGGGGAAGACTCGGAAAATCTGACAGCGGTGGGTGTACTGGGGTGATTTTAAGGGAAGGGGGCGAATTTTAGGCTAAAAGGAAGTTAGGATAAGAGTAGGCATTGGGGCTTTCACTGAGGGAAAAAGCAAAATCAGTGGAGTGATGGCGCCGTCTATGTTCGGCTAAAGTGTCACCCAGAAAATCAGTTTTGAAAATAGCTAAACTCAATACTGGTTTGCTTCTCAGCAAGAGACAGATGAAGGAATAAATACAACATCCTTGAGACCTCGGTGACCAGCCCTAAAATTCATCCCCCTACCCTTTCTGCAAGAGGCAAATACAGTTTAAACAGGCCCTGCAGTCCTAGTTGTGTGTGTGTGTGTGTGTGTGTCTTTTTTCTATTATTATTTAGAATGAACTAGACTGTACTCGAAGACTCTTTAAAAATAAGGAGCATTATACTGAGGGTGCTTTCTTGAGCAGGCGTGCTGGGGAAATCAGCTATTTCCTCACTCTAATCTGATGAACACAGCACTGCAGACATGGACTGTCAAATAAATGAAAGCAAAAGTACGGATTTCGTCAGGAAAAGCAATACGACCTCCTTTGAGTTTCTGATTATGAAATGAAGCCCCCTTGCATGGATAGAATTCCTAATTTAGACACTTATTGTCACATTGGCTCTCAACGCCTACACTTTACCCCAAAGAATGCTGCGCAGACCTGCATTGCCTACAAAGTGCTACAGCAGGAAGAAAAAGGGGGGGGGGGAGAAAAGAAAAACAGAAAAAAAATAAAATTACTTCCAGCATTTCCTATGACTTTCCCCCATTTTTTTAATGTGCCCACTGACTGTGTTTTCTCCATAACCAAAAGCATTACTCATTAAGTTATGTGCTTGTAACAGAGAATACTGTTTTGATAGACCCAGCAGTTCTAGTGTTATTTTAGACTGCTGCTCTGTAGAGATGTAGGATTGGAGAGTTTTTGTCTATGCCATTACAGAGAATTTGAGTTATAATCTGTAAAATGCAGATTTATGTTCAGGGACTTCAGTCAGTGGGTTGAGATTGCATGCGTGGATGTGTTATGCAATGGGAAGGAAGAGGGTTTTATCTTTCACTTCAGAGAGGACCCAGGGAGAGGAGGCATGAGAAGTCTTCACTGCCTGCATGTCTGTCTGTCTCTGCACACAACAGTGGAAGAGACCGAAGCCTAAAGTTTAATTTTAAAATTAACTTGGCATCACTTTTATCAGGCTCAAAGGCTAAACAAAAAAGCAGTGTCATTTTTCTAACAAAATACTCCATAAAGGTTAAAGCTGAAAACTATTCAAGTTATTTTTGGATAACAGCTTACAGAGGTAAGGGGCTACTTTATTATGCAAGGCCAGAGTACAAATAAATTTAACAGAAGAGCTTTGGAACTGTTTTTGGAAGGGAAAAATTCAATAATTGAAATCCACTAGGGAAGAAAATACTATGGCCCTGTGTAAATCTTAAATTATAGTAGAGAACTTTAGATAAAATAACCCTGATTTCAAAAATAAAAAAAGACCACAGGCAGGTCAGTTACTGCAGTTCTGGGATTTCCCCCTAACATTGCTTTTGGATATATAGATACTGATACAGCGATCTACTTTATGATCCCCAAGAGGGCATTACGCATTGAAATGACTACCTTCAAGCCTGGTTCTCAACAGGGATGCTGACCCCCATGAGGAGTCATCCCATCTCTCTGCCCACCTGTGTCCTTTCCAGGGCATGGTGTTAAAATTCTATCAGTCCACACAAACACCCATGGTTTTGCAAAGGAATTTCTCTTCAGTTCCTATGGTGGCCCCTGCAAAGGCAAGTAGGGGCATTTGGGAGACCATGTCCTCACCCCCACAAAAAATTAGCATTTGTGCTTTTAAAATTGTGGCTATGATTTATCATAATTACTTTTCCCATTTAAGAGACAGCAAATAATGTGATGACAGCTGCTCCCAGATTATCAGATTAGATTTTGTCCGGTGCTGTTTATTACAGGAAAAGGACTGAGGGAGGGAAATGACTATTTGGATTGATTAAACATGTTTCAACAGTTAACCTTTGGGTTATGATATTTCAAATCCCCATGTTTTCCCTCTTCATTTGATAAATTGATAATGGAAGTGAAAGATTCTGGTGAGTAATTTAGGGTATTCCTAGTAATCTATTAAACGTTATTTTTTGAGTTGAATGTTGAGAATTTGACCATTGTGAATGACCACTTGAGGGCGCTGTTCACATAGCAACAGATAATTTTCCTGCATTATAAAATAAAAATTACCTGTCCTTCTTTTAAAAGAGGGTTTTCTACTGAAATCTTGAAAACAGCTGACTGTAGTATGGGAAGCAGTTTAGGTTTTCAACGCGTGTAGCCTCTGGCTTGCATTTTATTTTTATTGCCATTTTTACAGGCCAAATGACATAGGATGAAGGCTGTTCGTAACCTGCTGATTTATATATTTTCCACCTATCTCCTGGTTATGTTTGGATTTAATGCTGCCCAAGACTTCTGGTGTTCAACTTTGGTGAAGGGAGTCATTTATGGATCATATTCTGTAAGTGAAATGTTTCCCAAAAACTTTACAAACTGCACTTGGACGCTGGAAAATCCAGATCCAACCAAATATAGCATTTACCTGAAATTTTCCAAAAAGGACCTTAGCTGCTCTAACTTTTCCCTGCTGGCTTATCAGTTTGACCATTTTTCCCATGAAAAAATAAAGGATCTTTTACGAAAGAACCATTCTATAATGCAACTCTGCGATTCCAAGAATGCTTTTGTTTTTCTACAGTATGATAAAAATTTTATTCAGATACGTCGGGTATTTCCAACTGATTTCCCGGGATTACAGAAAAAAGGGGAAGAAGATCAGAAATCTTTTTTTGAGTTTTTGGTATTGAACAAGGTGAGCCCGAGCCAGTTTGGTTGCCATGTATTATGCACTTGGTTGGAGAGCTGCTTAAAATCAGAAAACGGGAGAACAGAATCATGTGGGATCATGTATACAAAATGCACTTGCCCTCAGCATCTGGGAGAGTGGGGCATTGATGACCAGTCACTGGTTTTGTTAAGTAACGTCGTGTTACCCCTGAATGAGCAGACCGAGGGCTGCCTGACCCAGGAGCTGCAAACCACGCAAGTCTGCAACCTAACCAGGGAGGCCCGACGACCGCCCAAAGAAGGTAAGCACTGGTAGGAGAGGGGAGGAGGGAGCTGACTGCGGGGTGGTGGCTGCCTTGGGATGTGGTGGTGTTTCACTTCCCAGGCCTCTTGGTGGCTTCTGTAGTTTGGCATTTTTGGATTCATTGGATTTGTGATCTGCTAGCTTGGGGTTTGAGGGTCTTCAGGCTAGGGAGGAGAGCACAGGCTAGCTTTGCAGGGTGCCATGGAAGTGCCTGTAGAATACTCAGCAGAGGATAGCTGCAGAGATGAGACACCGGTTTGGTCTGGAGCTTGGGGAGAAGAGGGAGGGGCCCTTTATTCAGGCTGCAGCCCCTAGGAGCCCTGTGCATGTCATCTGTGGGGGGATTTGTAGACTTCGCGCTTCTTTTCCCACCAGAACAGCACAGGGACCCTTAGCTCCTTTCTCCTCAGGCCCCTAGCCTCTCATCCCCCTCTTAGACTGGAAGGGTGTTAGGCCAGAGGTAGCCATCAGTGTCAAGCCTGTTTGGACCAAGTGACTTCTTGACCCTTGAAGATGCTTCCCTTTTATGGGCTCCATTTCACTCTTCGGTGGGTCAGGAGAAGCACACTAGATGGCAAACTGGGGGTTTCAGGCCGTTAGGTCACCTTGACAGGGAGCCCCGAGGACAGGGAGTGGAATGAAAACACAGACTGACCCTGGGAGGCTGCACTGGCCCGGTCCCTGGTGTCCCGGGCACAGGGAGAGAGGGAACATCTCAGAAGTGAGCTAGCTGGAAGAAAGCACTGTGCCACGGAAATGCAGAGGAAACATAAAGTACTGGGGTGATTGTAGATTTCACCCAATCCCTGGTGGGAGAGAATCAGGAGATTTGAAATTGTGGATTGTTTTTAATAATGCAAGGAGGGGGTGACATATTTTAAAAAACGACTTTCCTGTTCAGAAGGTTAATGGCTGTGTTCCATTCATTTGTGGAAAGAGCTGATACATATTCGTTCTTGCTCCCCAGCCCTGCAACCAGCCAGTGTGTTGATTTCTTATGCAGGAAATGTTTTCTGATCGCCACAAAGATCCCAGTCTGTGGAAAGGGACAGCCAAGCTCCAGTCCCGCTTTCCTGCCCTTCCCCCAACAGAAGTTGTCTTTGTGGCCAATATAAAATTGACACGTTGTTGGAGGATTTTCTTTAAGGGGAGCCAAGGCTTTATAAGAGGAACGTGGGAGGGGGAAGAGGAGTCTTAACTGGTTTCATGCAGTTTCTCCCGCTGGGTGATTTGGGGGATGGGAATGATGGACTTGCAATGGCAGAGGGGAAAAGACTTGTTAGAAAAGAAATGCAGGCTGGTGGCAGAGAGAGAAACGTGAAAACCTTTTCAGATTTCTACAGTTCAGTGTTTCCCTAACAGCTGTGACTGAGGGAAAACAAAGTAGTTTTAAATTACAGGAGTTCTTTTCTGTAGTAAAAGTCCCAGAGAAGCACTTGCAACTGCAGGGATGGTATTTAACGCCATTTAAAACTAATTAGTGTCCCCTAGAATAGGAATCTACAGTACGCACAGAAAATGTGATGTTACAAGCAGGCTAATACAGTTGACATCAGAAACTAGAGTGGACTTTGTGGTTGTTGTTTGTTTAATTGATTCAATAAAGTTTAGACATATATTTTTCTAAGTTACAATTCTGTATATCAGATGGACTGCAGATGACTGCCCTTCCTTATGAAAGATAGCAGTGGACCAAAAAGATTTTCAGAGAATTTGCTGGCCATGATCATGAGTGGAGGTCTAGGATTTAGAGCAACTGTGGTGGATGGCCATGGTACTTGAATAAGAGTGGTATTTTCAGACATTAGATGTGTAAACTTTGGGAGAATGTATGTTTTTTGTGACTAATCAGCTGTCGAAATGTGAAGGAATATCTTCATGGACAAAAAAATATGATCACATTAAAATTATTATAATGGTGGTAGAGCTGAACTAGGGAGTTTATATAATAGGGAAATTGTGCTGTACCAATGAAATTGCATGGCCTATATTGTCTGAATTCTGATTTTGTGCTGCTTAATTATTTAGTTAATGTGAGTTACACAGGTAAGAATAAGTAATGCCTGGTGACATGATAGTATCTAATGCACTTATAGATAATATAATTATTGAATTAATTCTTTAACTTCTTCAAAGAATATTTCTTTGGCTATAATACATTGTAGGAAAGGAATGTGAGAAATCAAAACTTATTTAGTCAAATTTATGCCAAGTATATTAAATCTTAAATATTTGACATAAATGATGTATAAAATACTATGAAAGAATTACTTGATACCATTTCAAATAAACTACCGCATAAATGACTTCCCTAGGGCTTGAGGTTAATAATTGTATATAATTGTGCATCTCATGTATAATTTGATTCATAGTCTCATCTTTTTTATGATAACATGAAAATTTGGCTCCTAACATGAGGTTCAGAATTTTTCACCTATATTTATATTATGTGAGGATTGATGTTTTCTGGGAAAAAGTGTTCAGACTCTCCGGTACATATCAAGAGAATAAATGCAGCTTTTGATTTCCATTTTTTGCTTTTGATAAGTATTAACTAGGAAGTTCTTGAGTAGAAGCATTTTCCTCTAGTATTACATCATACAAGTGGCCCACATTTAGCAGGAGAGTTTTCATACTTCAGCTCCACATTATTTTGTGTGATCCCGAGGGGTGTAAATGTTGAATATTGTGAATATATCCAGTGGAATCACACAGTCAAATTCAGTGAAACCTCAGGAGATAGTGAACTCTCAAGAATAGAATGTCTACTTTGACAGAGGATTTCTACTACTGTGTTCCTTTAACAATACATAACAAGCCACCTAGTAGCAAGAAGAAAAGTGTTTTTTAATGAAACCGACAATTAAAAAATACAATATGTAGTGCTTCATAAAATTTTCAACATTACATTTAAGGATTTTCTAAAGATCATATTTAACATAATTGGGAGCTTATAGAATTTCAGTTATTAATCTTCCATTTTTTATGTGAAATTGTGAAAGCCACGTAAATTTGGAAAAAATGAAGAGTTTTTAAAAATAATGAGGCCAGGGTTCAGTTTTTGGAACACTGTGAATGTAAAATGGATGTAATAACTTTCTAAAGGAAATTTAAATAACATTTGTATTTACCTGGTTTTCAAATACGGGTGTGAGCACAGACTGGCATTTATTCATCAAATCATCTTCAGCTTGCCTAAAGGCTTTTATTAGTCTTCCGTGGCCTTTTCTGTGAAAGATGGTTTTGGACCATGGAACTACAATATGGTCTAGGAGCTTATTCCTTATCATTTCATTTAAAGTAAAAGAATTATAATTGCTTGAACAGAAAAATTCCACACCAGGATATCTAAATCACGTAAGAAGTCTTAATGGAATCTTTGTTTTCTACTAACATCAATGGCTCCACTTAGGTGCCAGGAAATTGGGATCCCTGTATAGATTCGGGAACACTGAGCATGCTCCTTTGTCTTACCATGCTGCCTCAGGTAATCCTTGATATTCTGCCGCCCAAGGGCAGTCTCATGATGTGGCTGTGAAAACTATAGTTCATATTTGTATATGTGTTTGCATTTTTAGGAACATATTTATAATCCTGAGGAATTTTCATCCCTCTAATGTTGTTCTGTTGTCTTTCTGCTTTTGGCCTCTGTACCTCTTCATTAATTTTGGTCTGCCTTTCTCTGGCCTCTCGCTCTTCTTTCTTTCTAGATGACTGGCATGGTCCTAATATTCCTCTTTAGAAAGTGAGAATACACTCAGTCTGTTTTTCCTTGAAGAAGCAGGGCCTGAGAGTTTGCCCTGGCTTTTTTCTGGCTTCACAGCGCTTGGCACACATCGCACTTCTGTCCTGGAATGTGTCACACTGCAGTGTGATTTTTCCTCTCTATTCTTATCTCTCTACTCTAGACTTTAATTTCCTAGAGTAAAACTATTGGGATTTTGGAAGCCAGTAGCATTCTAAACTAGAGCTTTGGTTGGAATGAAAGTTGAGTGAACAAAAACAGATCTCAGCAGGAAAGGTAGCAAATTGATTACAGTCAAATTAAAATACATAACTGAGAAAGTATGTACCTTTCACTTCCCTTTTATTTCATTTCCTACCACCATTAATGTATTATCAATGCCACTTCCTGATCTTAGAGTTTTCTTTAGTAATATTTTAAAAGAACAAAAAATAAAATCATTGAGAAATGGTCTTAATGTATGTTTAGTGAACTATTAATGAGAAATACAGTTTGCTGTAGAAGGCCATTTAAAAAAACTGACAGAAAATTTGCTAAACTCTGTCTTCATTTCTCTTTCTCTGCTGAACCTTACATTACTTGTGTAGTAATAACATTTCCCAAATCTTCTCTTCCATAGTTTGATAAACATAGTGTTTTTCTAAGAAAGGGAAAAAAGAGTGTTTGCATGTCAACTTGAGTGTTTCTGTTTTTAGTTCTTGAATTTGAATTATAAATATAGCATGTAGTAATGATTCCATGTCACTAAAATTGTAGACCTGGTCAAGTAATATGGCATTTTTTTTTTCCTTTTACCATCTTGGAATTTTGCCAGACAGTGTAGGAAAAGCTCATATATACAGTATTGGAAAAAAAGAAAAGTACATCAAGGGGCAACATATTTTCATTGGCAGTAGGTAAATAATATTCAGTAATGCATGAAAATTTCAGGGAAGTGTGTTTGCATGTGTGTGACACGTGGATACATACGCGAGTCACTATCTCCTGGATTTTAATCACAGCTAAGGATAAACAGACTGCCCATTCATTTTCTCCCAACATGGAGGTAGGCATTTTATTTCATTTGGAATGTAGCTTCATGGATACTTTTTATTTGCTTCATTTCCTAATAGAAGTAAATCATTTATTAAATTGATTTTTTTCTGATAGGTGTTTTTATCAAATTGAGCTTTCTTTAGAATCATTCTAGAATATATTACCTATGAAACTCATCCAACACTTGGGTTAGTAATTAGCATTCATTAAAAAATAAG